AAGCAAACACCACTGGCCTGGGGTACTTTCATTACAGAAGACCAGGAGAGAGAGAAGAAAGGAAGGAAGGAAAGAGAGAGAGAGAGAGAATTACTAGGTTCACAGGAGTTTCATCTCAAACTTGACCATGAAGGTGAATTTACATCAAATAAGCTGGGCCCTAGAAAGACTTAGTGGCTATTGACCGTTTCTGCTGGCTACATCTCCTACTGTCTGCCTCAGAAAGAGCACTGCAAATAACAATCTTCAGCTGTACAGTACTACAGTCCGACTGGCTGTGCAGCAGGTTGGCATGCAAACTACAAGAGGTAACCACAAGGAGAAAATTGACATTGACCCAGGACAATGAGCAGGGTATGAGAGACCCCAATGGGGAAATATGTTCTGAAACTTGAAATGGGAGACAAGCAGAGAACAACACTATTACAGTAATAGTAATAGCGGATCAGGTATGTAGAAAGGCCCAGAGTGACACAGGAGGTCTAAGGCAACTTCACAAGTTACAAAGATGTAAGGCATTCATGTTATGGTTACTTACTCAAGCTTTTGTAAGATTTACAAGAGTAGCCAACACAATTTATAGGCAGCAGGTATAAAACAAATATAGAGAAATACTTCACACAATGCACAGTCAACCTGTGGAGCTCATTGCCAGGGTATGTTGTGAAAGCCAGAACTATAACAGGATTTTAAAAAGAATGAGATAGTCCTATTCTATCCTTATGAACCTATTAGCCAAGATGGTCAGAGATGCTAGCTTCTGTTCTGGATGCTGAGACTGGATGACAGGGGATGGATCACTTGACCGTTGCCTTATTCAGTTCATTCCCTTTGAAGCAACTGGCATCAGCTACTGTTGGAAGACAGGACACTGGGCTAGGTGGAGCTTTGGTCAGACCTAGTATGATCATTCTTATGTTCTTAATTTTAGAACTATTCATATCACTTGCACAGATGCAGCATTGTGCCCTTAGAACAGGAACAGAACAATAGATTCTGTTTATGCAGAAAACAATAAGGCTGCTTCTGACAACCACCACTGAAAGGAGCTGATATTTTCCTCTTTTTTGGGGGGGGAGGCTAATATGGGGTAAGAAGAGTTTGGGACCAGCATATGAGAAATGCCTTGGATTTTCCAATTTCTCACTATAGGTAGTGTTACCACTTTTGATCTAAGAAGCTAGTCACAATTTGGGCCCTCCAGGGGCTCATCTACATTGGCCCCTTTTCCGAAAGGGGCATGTTAATTTCAGAGATCGTAATAGGGAAATCCGCGGGGGATTTAAATATCCCCCGCGGCATTTAAATAAAAATGTCCGCCGCTTTTGTCCGGCTTTTAGAAAAGCCGGAAAAGAACGTCTACACTGGCCCAGATCCTCCGGAAAAAGTGCCCTTTTCCGGAGGATCTTATTCCTACTTTGAACGGAGGATCTTATTCAAAGTAGGAATAAGATCCTCCGGAAAAGGGCACTTTTTCCGGAGGATCTGGGCCAGTGTAGACGTTCTTTTCCGGCTTTTCTAAAAGCCGGAAAAAAGCGGCGGACATTTTTATTTAAATGCCGCGGGGGATATTTAAATCCCCCGCGGATTTCCCTATTACGATCTCTGAAATTAACATGCCCCTTTCGGAAAAGGGGCCAATGTAGACGTAGCCCAGGTGTTCCCATTTGGAAGAGAAATCTGCAATGGGTCCAGGTATCTTTAATGCAATCTTGTTTGTTTATAGAGAATGTACAATGTTCTGTTTCCCTGAACACAAGATGAGCCAAACATCAGGAGAGCCTCGCAGTCCTATATTTCTTTTAGCCAGCAACTGGCCCCAAAGCTCTCTCTCTCTAAGCTTTTCTAGGACGATATATTAAGTGCTTGTTCAGGGCATTACTGATTCTGCCTTCTCTCTCAGCTTCTCTGCAGTTTCTTAGAAATCAGATGAGATCAGTGTCAGAGATGCCCAGGTTTTTTTTTAAAGCAAAAGGAAAATAAAGAAAAAGCTTGTTGTCTGTACCTATAATTTTCAGACAAGATCCCCAGGACAGCTCACCTCCTTCCAAGCTTTCCTGTCGGCATAGTAGCATCTTCAGTAAAGTGATACAGTGGCCTAGCTGTTCCACTGCCGCACTGTACATGAAGTCAAGACCTAAGACCAGAAAGGACCAATGTGATCATCTAGTCTGACCTCCTACATAACACAAGCTAGAGAACACCGAGATATTATGATATGCTTATGGCATAATTATGATGTATTTTATTCAGTATAGGCCATGTGCGGTATCATTGAAAAGGTTATGATTTGCTGAATATGATTATCCTATTTGTTCTGGTATCCTGGAAAAACACCCCAGTCTAGAGGTACCCTAAGTCATATCCATTATCAAGTTTGTGCTTCTCATATGGGTACTTAGGGTACATCTACACAATAGTGTTATTTCAGAATAACTGATGTTATTCCAAAATAACATAGTCCGCATCTAAACTATAATAATGTTGAAATAATGGCGAACTGGAGGACTACTTATGCTGACTCCTGTAACCCTTATTTTATGAGGCATAAGAGAAGTCAGAGGAAGAGTGCTCTGCCTCAGACTTCTTGCTGTGTAGATAGCATCAATAGCCAAAATAAGCTATTTTGGCTTAGGCTACACAATAGACATTGCTGAAGTTGCGTAGCTTATTTCAGATTTAGCCCTGCTGTGTATCGTGCCCTATAGACTGAATGAGTCATAAAAACATAGGAACGGCCATCCAGGATCAGACCAAAGGTCCTTCTAGCCCAGTATCCTGTCTTCCGAGAGTGGCCAATGCCAGATGCCTCACAGGGAGTGGACAGAACAGGAAATCTTCAAATGATCTCTTTCCTGTCATCCATTTCCAGGCACTTACTGACAAACAGAGGTTAGGGACACCATTCCTACCTATCCTGGCCATTGATGGACCTAACCTCCATGAATTTATCTAGTTCTTTTTTTAACCCTGTTCAAGTCCTGGTCTTCACAAAATCCCCTGGCAAGGAGTTCCACAAGTTGTCTGTGTGCTGCATGAAGAAAAACTTCTTTTTGTTTGTTTTAAACCTGCTACCTATTAATTTCATTTGGGGACCTCTAGTTCTTGCGTTCTGGGAACAAGTAAATAACTTTTCCTTATTCACTTTTTTCCACGCAAGTCATGATTTTACAGACCTCTATCATATCCTCCCTTCGTCTCCTGTTTCTCTAAGCTAAAAAGTCCCAGGCTTTTTAATCTCTCTTCATATGGAACCTATTCCAAACCCCTCATCATTTTTGTTGCCTGTTTCTGAAACTTTTCCACTGCAAATATGCCTTTTTTGAGATGAGGCCACCATATCTGTACACAGTATTCAAGATGAGGGTGTACCATCGTTTTATATAGACACAATAAGATAAGAGTCTTATTCTCTATCCTTTTTAAATGATTTCTAACATTCTTTTTGCTTTTTGAACTGCTGCTGCTGCCCATTAAGTGGATGTTTTCAGGACTCTCCATAATGACTCCAAGATCTCGCTCTTGAGGGGTTATAGTTAAATTAGTCCCCATCCTTTTGCATGTATAGTCGAGATTATTTTTCCAGCATGCAGTCCTCTACATTTATCAATGTTACCTTTCATGTGCCATTTTGTTGCCCAATCACATAGTTTGGTGAGATCTTTTTGAAGCTGTTCACAGTCTGCTTTGGTCTTAACTATCCTGAGCAGTTTAGTATCATTTGCAAATTTTGCCACTTCACTGTTTACCCCTTTCCCCAGATCATTTATAAATAGGTTGAATAGGATTTGTCCCAGTACGGACCGTTGGGGGACACCGCTAGTTACCTCTCTCCATTCTGAAAACTTTGTATCCTGTCTTTTAAGTAGTAATCAGTCCATGAGAGTACCTTCCCTCTGATCCCATGACAACTTCCGTGACTTAAGAGCCTTTGGTGAGGGACCTTGTCAAAAGCTTTCTAAAATCTAAATCCACTATATCCACTGGTTCCCCCTTGTCCAAAGGTTTGTTGACTCCCCTCAAAGCACTCTTGTAGATTTGTAAGGCGTGATTTTCCTTTACAGAAACCATGTTGACTTTCTCCCAACATCAGTCTGACAATTTAATTCCTGACCATAGCTTCAACTAATTTGCCCGGTACTGATGTTAGACTTACTGGTCTGTAATTACCAGAATCACCTTTAGAGCCCTTTTTAAATATTGGCATCACATTAGCTATCTTCCAGTCATTAGGTACAGAAGCTGATTAAACGACAGATTACCAACCGCAGTTAATAGTTCCACAATTTCACATTTGAGTTCTTTTGGAAATCTTGGGTGAATGCCATTTAGTCCGGGTGTATTGCCCCTTAACCATCTCTTTTTTAAGCTATATTGATTGAGCTTTCAGAGTCACTATCAAGCAGGTTTTAAATCCTTTCATCATTCTTGTAGCTCGTCTCTGAACTTTTTCTGATTTATCAACTTCCTTTTCCAATTACTGATAGCATTATTCCAGCAATGGTAGCACTAATGCTCTGGCCAGGCAGTGCTGAGACCCAGCTTCTAGCAAGAGACCCACTCAGCCCTGGCTGCTGCACCCCCTGGCTTGAAGTTATTTCTATCCCACAGGGTTTAGAGCTGGGCTCAATGGCTCACAGCACCTCCTACTCACCCCACTGGTGGTGTTCACATTCCTAGTGTCGACAGCCAGACCAGCTGGCTTGGTGAGCAGCCCAGGGGCCTCAGGGCTGGGGCCACCCCACAGTTGCTCCTGGGCAGGGAGGGGCTGTGCTCCATATACTGAGCTGTGATGTGCCAACTCGGGCACTACAACTCCCATCAGGTAAAGCGAGTCGGTCCCGGATGTGGAATTGACTATAGCGGCGACCATCTTTGTGCGGGGCACCGTGTCCCTTTCTCCCCTGCGGTGGCGGCCATCTTTGTGCAGGGCGCTTCTTCCTCCCGCCCTTCTACATTTTTTTTTTTTTCTGAATCAGCTATCGGCCTGATGGAACGCTGAGGGGCCGGCTCGCCGCGCGCAGGCGCAGTGCAGGGGGGGCAGCGGCAGCTGTCCGCCGGGCTGCACAATGGGGCCGCTGGTGGCCTGGGCGCTGCGAGCGGCGGCTCTGTCCCAGCTCGTGCTCAGCCCGGGGAGCAGCGCTGCAGGTGAGAGGCTGCGACCGGGAGGGGCGGGGCGCGCTCCCCCACTCTCCTTCCCCCCGGCACTGGGGAGCGGGGGGTGTCTCCCGCCCCCCCAGCCCCGTCCCCCGCTGCC